TCGCAATGGTGAAGTTTGGGGTGGGGAGGGGAACATAGCCAAGTTGTTTTGTAGGGTATTGACAGGTTTTGCTCGCCAGCTCCTCAGTGGCTTCAGAGTCAAGAACTCAACTCCTCAGAGATCTTCCACGTGCTTCCTTCCCACAACAGCCTCATTCAGCGTAGAATAGGAGGGCCTTCGATGTCACCTAGGCCAACCTCATGTCATGGATGGATATTGAGGCTCAAAGAAAGAAGGTGACTTGATTAAGGTTATTTGTAACGTTATAACTGTTCTGGGCCCAGAGCCTGGGTCTCCTGATCCCCCAGCCATGTTCCCTCCTCTGCACCAAACTGCGTTCATCACACGGAAGTACGCATCATCACACACCGTTCATTCCCATATCTGCAGGAGACACCAAGCGATGCCCCTCAGATTCAGCAAAAGAATTAAGCCCTATGCCCTAAGGCATCCATTACATTGTATGTAACAACTTAATCTCTCTCTTATATCCCTAGGAGGGTAATAGTTAGGTACCATTCTTGGGAGAATTGTAAGAAGAGTCACTCCGTTTTCTGCAAGGTTTCATTCTCTTGCAAAGCCCCAGCTAAGTTGCTGGAGGTTAGCCTCTTCAGATGTCTTCAGGCCAAGGAGCCCTTCATATAACAAACTGCAGTCTCTCCTGCTTTCATTTAAGCCATCTCCTCTTGTTCAGTCCCCCTGAGACGTGGAGAGTTTATTAGCATGTCTCTCATAAAACGCTAGCGCAGCAGGAAATTAAATTCATCTGGTATAATCAGCTGTTCCGAAAGCTTTGTTGGTTGCTCTGCTTCTTTGTGGTTGCCAAGGTGACTGCAAATTGATTATTTGAGGACTTGTTTATGATCATTCCAGGTATTGATGTTAAGTTTAGACACTGACAGACCCAAGTATGAATAGATTTGCCATTATGGTAAAGGAGTCTCCAAACCCAAGGGACCAAGGGATATTTAAGCTGAAGGGAAGGCTCAGGAGAACTCCAAGGGATTCTCCCGAAAGCTTGAGGACAGTCTTGCTCTCGGGAAGAGAGAGGAAGCTTGTTTTGAGTGGCCTCAGGGGGCAGACTTAAAATCCGCAGGCAGAAGCTGTAAGATGGATTTCAGTTCACTATCTGGACAGTCAGAAACATACAAAGGCAGAAGGTTCTGGTGAGCTTGCCCTTGCTAGAGCTGTCTGAGAGTTTTGGTGCATGTATTGTGTAAGGGGCTGGTCAGACTGTAAGATGCTTCATTCAAAAACCATGAACATTCCACCCGGCATATTATATAACTCAGTGGTAATGGTAAGTTTTCAGTCATGTTTCTTTCTAAGGCACCAAGCTTTGTCCCTGTTTTCATTCTTTTTCACAGAAATCCAAATTAAAAACAAATTACTCATTATTCATGTTCAAAGTGTCCTTTCACACATAGGACCTGATAAGATCAATGTGCATTCTACATGTACATTTTGATTCAAAAATAAGAGAACAGTAAGAGTTATCTCTTTTGCAAGGGAGGATGCTGAACACTTTACATGCATTTAATCTCCTTTAATGTAAATTTAATGGGATGAAGGTATACAGAGGTAATATTCAAGACAGACATTTAAGACCATTATTTAGAAAGAAATCTACAGATTTTTCTCTGCTCAGAGGATCATAAAGATGAAAGGAATCTCATCTAAGCCAAGAACGGGATAAGATTTTCCTAAGCTGTCCAGCTAATGGTGTGAGGACATTTCCTGGCACCACGGAACCTTACTCCTATTCAAACGTTTGTTCAGTAAATCAAAATGTGTTTTGTTTTGTTTTGTTTTGTTTCTGTTTGGCAGGCAGGAAACGACAAATCAGTGTCTTAAGGGATTGACAAAATATGTAATTAGACACTATCAATTACCGTAAAAGAGCCTGCTTTTTCTTACATCAGATAAAGGTGCATGTAGTCTAAGAACTTCCCAGTTCAGCTGAAGCACTAAGTCGCTAAGGCTGCAAGCCTAGTGAGCAGGGCCAAAGTACTCTGCTGGGAAATGAAGTGACAGCGTTGGGTGAAGAGCAGGCCTGGACCCTTTATCTTGCCTGCCACCTTCGACTAGACACTTCTTACTTCTGCACTTTAGTTTCCTCATTTGCAAACTGGAGGGGTGGGGGGAAATGAACGGAATGATCTATTAAACTCTGTCCCATTCTAACTCTCTCCACTCCTGTAACTCTAAGAGGAGGTCAGGAGAAGACTCTTGGTGTGAAGACAGCATCTTGAAATTCCTATCAGCTTGGTGATGCAGCAGAGAGAAGGAGAGGGAGAGGGAGGGAGGGAGAGAGGGAGGGAGAGAGAAAGAAAAGGCGAGAAGGGGTGGGGGGAGAGAGGGAGAGATTGTCCATTTGGGAAAGCTGATGGGTAAGAACCTGGAACCTCCTCGTTGACATAAGCCGTCTTCCCTTCTTGATTTAGTGTTTGTGGGTTTTTGAAAAGGTGTTTCCCAAAATAGTCAAAGTTAAACTTTTAGATGACTTATATGTATATCTAAATGATCAATTAGTGTTTGTCTTGAAAGGGCTTTCTTTGTTCTTTTTGTTGTTGTCTTTATGGGAAGGTTAAACAATATGCTTATTTATTCCATAGCTTCGCAAACAGGAAGGAGGTTTTAAATGGCTTAGTTCCACAATTTGGGCTAGATGTATATTTAAAGAAACTGTGTTGCATAACAGACACTGCTTCTTCCTAAAATGCATCATTCCAGAGCCAATTTTGGAAAACACAAATATGGGGTGGGTATATTTTGAAAACCATAGGAACATAATTGATCTTTAATTAATATTTGCGCCTTTGATGGGAAATATTTGCTTTTTAAGGCATCTGTCCTGTGAAAACAATCTCTGGCTGGTAAAGGAAGTTAAAGGGAGCATGCAGGTTAAATTTTGTTTCTGAGCTTTACTTCTACAGTAAACACCCAAGTTACTTTTGTCCTAAAGTATTTGATTGTTCTATTAGAGAAGACGAAAAACACGTTCTAAACTACTAAGTGATTTATATACATTTCATTTATAACCCATGTTTGTGTGGCATATATATGTGCAAAAGTACTTTCACATTTATTATCATATATTCCATTCTCACTCCACCCAACAGAAGTGACTTTATTCTCCACTTAGAGATGGAAGAAATTAGGCTCCATCTTTTTGATGTGCCTAAGGAAGGTAAGCTAGAAAGTGCTATGACAGGGGGTCTGGAACCCGAGTATTCCAATTCTGGTTGTAGTCTCTTGTCTAGCCTCCATTCCCCTCTGCATGTGATGATAGTGTACCTCAAAAAGATGAGTTTTAGAGTCAAGAAGACCTGGGTTCATCTCCTGCTTCTGGCACTGCCTGGCCCTGTGCCCTTGGGCAAGCTATTTTCCTCTTTGAGCCCCATTTGTGAATTAAGCTAAAAATAGTACTCCCCCCACCATGGGACTGTGGGAAGGATTAAATGGAATAATGCATGAAAAGTACATAGCAGAATGTTCCCTAAATGTTAGCCATTGTTATGTTATTATGTAATCTACAAAGTATGTTTGGTTACACTGCATGAAATGCTTTCAGTCTTTCAAAGAAGCTACTAATACTTGTGAAATCAAACCCTGAAAATTAATTTCTTTTTAACAGTAAAGTCATACCCCAGATGCAAAGGATAATATTTCCCCGACAAAGACCCTAGTCTGAAGGTTTGGTCTGACTTTTTTTTTTTAAAGGAGAAATTATCTTCTTTCCTGTGTTTCAAAACTTTCTTAATGTTAACACATCCTAATAGTCTGAGCCATATGAAATGGACACTTTTAAAGTCAGAAACCACAGAAGAGTGGCAATTTCATATGGCTCGCCCCAACAGATCAACAAACTGCATGGCAGATGAAAGGATTTTTCTAGCTGCAGTGGGCTTGCTGAAGAAGATGAGGTTAAAAGGAAAATTATTCCATTTTCAACTCATCTTCATTCCCACAGATAACCAGGGAGTGATGCCCCACTCCCAAGAATTACACATTTAAGCGCACAACCTTCTCCTTCTGTCCTCAAATGCATACATGCGTACCCCAGCTCCAGCTCCGAATGAAAACCAAGGGGTGAAATTGTATGTCTCAATGCCTGCAAATTCCCAAGGAGGGCACCAAAAGTACTTGACAGTGAGCGTGCTGAGGAAATCGGGCAGCTGTTGAAGTCGCCTCCTGTGGTCCTGCCAAATGTTTGAAAGGGAATGTGCCCTGTGTGCGTGTGTGTGTTGCGGGGGGAGGGGGAGTTTGGGGGGTCGTATGCACAAGTGAGGGGGTTTGGAGTACCTGGACGGGGACGTCCGAATCTGTGGCGCTCTGCCTGCCCCCCAAGCGAGCGTTTGTGTGTTGTTTACTTCTCTCTGTGTGTGTGCCCGTGCCTCTGGGCTTCTGGGTGCTTCTGTGTTTGTTTCTTGGCCCCGTCTCTGTTGGACAGGGGTGACTTTGTGCTGTGGGCTTCTGTGTGCGCGCTCACGCGAGTGTGCTTGTGGGTGCGCCGGACGGGTGTGTCTCCGTGTCGGTGGCTGTGGTTCTGTATAAGTCTCAGCATGTCTGTCGGGGTGCCTGTGTGCCTGTCCGTGCGTGTCTGGGTGGGCACCGTCGTCTCTGTTTCCGAATGCTGGGGAGCGGCCGCCCAGGCGCCCAGGCCGGACAGGTAGCAGCCCCCAGAAGAGCCCAAGGCTCCCGGTCGGCCGGTGAGCGCGCCGGCCCCAGCCGCAGGCCTCGGGGCCAGCCGGGAAGCCCGGCAGGGAGAGGTGGCCCGCCCGCCACCCGGGAGCAGCCGGGCCCCGCCCGGGCCAGCCCCGGGAGGGGGCGGGAGAGGGGAGGGGAGGGCGGGGAGGGGAGGGGACCTCGCCCTTTCGGGACTGCCCGCCCGCCATTGGCCGAAAGTTGCCGTACGTCACGGGGAGGGCAGTTCCCTAAAGTCCTGTGCACATAACGGGCAGCGCGCACTCCGGGGCGGCTCCTCCAGCGCGCCGGCCGGGTCCAACGCGCACGGGGAGCCCGGAGCACCCCGCAAGCTGAGCGCAGGACGCGCCCCCAGCACAGCCACCCCCCGGCCGCTGAATGAGGCTTCCCGGCGTCCGCTCGCTGCCCGCGGCGCCGCGCGGGAGGTCCGCCCGCTGAGGCGCGGCGGGTGCGCCGGCAGCCAGTGCGCTCACCTGCCAGCCTGCGCGCCATGGGGCAGCCCGGGAACCGCAGCGTCTTCTTGCTGGCGCCCAACGGAAGCCACGCGCCGGACCAAGATGGCACGCAGGAACGGAACGAGGCGTGGGTGGTGGGCATGGGCATCGTCATGTCGCTCATCGTCCTGGCCATCGTGTTCGGAAACGTGCTGGTCATCACAGCCATCGCCAGGTTCGAGCGTCTGCAGACGGTCACCAACTACTTCATCACCTCCCTGGCCTGTGCTGACCTGGTCATGGGCCTGGCGGTGGTGCCCTTTGGGGCCAGCCACATCCTCATGAAAATGTGGACTTTTGGCAACTTCTGGTGTGAGTTTTGGACTTCCATTGACGTGTTGTGCGTCACGGCCAGCATCGAGACCCTGTGCGTGATCGCAGTGGATCGCTACTTTGCTATCACATCACCCTTCAAGTACCAGAGCCTGCTGACCAAGAATAAGGCCCGGGTGGTCATTTTGATGGTGTGGGTCGTGTCAGGCCTTACCTCCTTCTTGCCCATCCAGATGCACTGGTACCGGGCCACCCACCAGGAAGCCATCAACTGCTATGCCAAGGAGACCTGCTGTGACTTCTTCACGAACCAAGCTTATGCCATTGCCTCCTCCATCGTGTCCTTCTACTTTCCTCTGGTGGTCATGGTCTTCGTCTACTCCCGGGTCTTCCAGGTGGCCCAAAGGCAGCTCCAGAAGATTGACAAATCTGAGGGCCGCTTCCATGCCCAAAACCTCAGCCAAGTGGAGCACGATGGGCGGAGCGGGCATGGACATCGCAGGGCCTCCAAGTTCTGCCTGAAGGAACACAAAGCCCTCAAAACTCTGGGCATTATCATGGGCACTTTCACCCTGTGCTGGCTGCCCTTCTTCATCGTCAACATAGTGCACGTGATCCAGGATAACCTCATCCCCAAGGAAGTTTACATCCTTCTAAATTGGGTGGGCTATGTCAACTCTGCTTTCAATCCCCTCATCTATTGCCGGAGCCCAGACTTCAGGATTGCCTTCCAGGAGCTTCTGTGCCTGCGCAGGTCTTCTCTGAAGGCCTGTGGGAATGGCTACTCCAACAACAGTAGCAGCAGAACCGACTATGCTGGGGAGCACAGTGGATGTCACCTGGGGCAGGAGAAAGACAGCGAACTGTTGTGTGAGGACCCCCCAGGCACGGAAGACCTTTTGAACCATCAAGGTACTGTGCCTAACGATAGCATTGATTCACAAGGGAGGAATTGTAGTACAAACGACTCACTGCTCTAATACAGTTTTTCTACTTTTTATGAACCCCCCCCCAACAAAACACTAAACAGACTATTTAACTTGAGTGTAATACATTTAGAATAAAATTGTATAGAGATGTGCAGGAGGAAGGACAGCCTTCTGCCTTTTTTTAATTTTTTTAAGCTGTAAAAAAGAGAAAGCATATTCGAGTGATTGTTTCTTGTACAGTTCGGTTCCCTTTTTTGCATGGAACGTGTCAGGTTGTGTCTGAAAGGCTTCAGTCCCAGAGGACCTGGGGCTGCTATGTTTTGATGACTTTTCCCGTGGATCTACCTCATTGGTCAAGTATTAGGGGTAATATATATTGCTGCTGGTAATTTGTATGTGAAGGAGTCTTTCCTTCCTGCACCCTTGCACTGGAGGACCTTGAGTATCTCGGACCTTTCAGCTGTGAACACGGACTCTCCCCGCTCCTCTTATTTGCTCAAACAGGGTGTTGTAGGCAGGGACTTGAGGGGCAGCTTCAGTTGTGTTCCTGAGCAAAGTCTAAAGTTTACAGTAAATAAAGTGTTTGACCATGACTTCATTGCACCTGTTTCTCCAAAACCCCTTGACTGGAGTGTGGTCGCCTCCCCCACTGGAAACCACAGGTAACTATTTGTAATAACTGCCCAGGGACTTAATATGGAATGATACAGGAATGGCATGCACTGATTGCTTAACCCTTTCCTTTGCCTTTGAATCTGCCGCCGCAAACCTGTATCTCTCCTAATGCCAGTGCCTCAGAGCAGTTCTGCCTGCCGTCAGCATAGCTGGTCTCGCTGGTCCTATGGTGATGATTCTGTGTTGTTACAGCAGAAACACTGACTCATAGAAGCGGACTTATGGGCATCTGTTTTGTCCCTCTGTGCGCCCCTGCCGCCCACCTTCCAGTCCTACTTGTTTAATAGCTGCTTTTGTTATATATTGGCTGCATCTTATAGTGGAGATCTATGCACTGCGTCAGGGTTTGGTATTTTAAAGATAAGGAAGAAGCTCTTATGAGCAAGCCACTAAAACACAGCCCTGGAATTCCAAGGGAAACTGAAAAGGGCACTGGTCATAGGGAGAAAGCTGGAAAACACTTATCCAATGAATACCTCATGAGCTCGGAACAGGACTGCAGCCCCTCCTCCTTCTTTACTTCTGTCTCTTTCCCCCTCTCCCTTTGACCCTCCTCACTCGGGTATAAACCCTCCTCACTAGGGTATAAACCCTCCTCACTCGGGTATAAAGCCAGACTTCTCAGCCTCGGCACTATTAACCTTGCAGGCCAGATGATTCTCTGTGGTGGGGGGCCGTCCTATGCGTGGTCAGATGTTCAGCAGCATCCCTGGCCTCTACCCATTAGATGCCAGGAGCGCCCTCTGAATTGTGACAACCAAAAATGTCTCCAGGCCTTGCCAAATACTCCTCGAGGGGTGAAGTCACCCCTGATTGAGAACCACAGATAGAAATCTGTTTAGATTTTTAGATTCTGTCTAATGCCACCACTTGATTTTGCAGAGCATCCGAGAGGGATTTTCCATGGGTCGCCCAGTTTGTGACAGACCCCGGGCCAGCGTTCTTCCCTCCACCCCCCATGCTGCCTTCCGAACTCACCTTCCAGCCTCCCCGACACTGACTGTATTGGGGGTGGGGGACGTGCAGTGTTTGGTAGGGCTTATCCGTGGAGGCCAGGCCTGGGAGTCCTACTGCTTTTTTGTGGAGAGATTCAAATACCGTGAAGAGGCACAGGAGGGAAAATCACAAAAGTAAACACATTTCTTCTCCCACCCCCTTTCTATTTTTGCCCGTGTGTCTGAGCCAGAGCTTGGCCCAGGTTTGACCGAGTGGACCGTCCTCCTTGGCAATGCCAGCCTGGAGAGGATCAGCCTGCAGGTTCATTGCCATTTCACCCGCTCCTGAAGCTGACTCCACTTCTTTCTTCCCTTCTGTCCCAGCCAAGGTCCCCAACCAGAAAAGCATTGGCTTCCTCTGCTTCCTGTCAGCTCTGTGATGGGTGTCCGGGTGCACACTCAGCTCTCGGGAGAAAGCTAGGTGCCCGAGTTTCTGGAACGTGCCATGACGAATGGGAAAGTGGGTGCCCTTCAGCACTTTTGCTTTTTCTCCAAGGGCTTACCTGCCCGTTCTCACATTCTCCACCTGCTCTGGGCCCCCCACCCAGAGGCGTGGGCCACTTCTCCAGCTAATCTTCACCCTCCTGGTAGCCTCACCGGATCTTGGACTTGCAAGAGCCCATAGAAAGCATTGGGCATCCAAGGAGATGAAAAATCTGTGAGGGGTAATGACCTGCCCAAGGTAAGAAGCCAAGGATGTGAGAGACGGGGCTACAGCCGGAGAAGCCAACTGTTGGCTGTTAGTTCAGGAACCGCTGTGTTCCCTCCACCACATGATCATTGACTTCTGTCCTCACCCTCAATTGTGGAAGCTTTTCCCTGGGGCTGTCATATAACAAACTCCTTTCAGTGGATGTTTTTATTGCTCTCAGGTCTTTAGCTCAAAATTCAGGCAATGACCAAATAATCTGCAATAGAGGCAAGAGAAAGAATTGTTCTTTTACTCAACAAGAGTCTACTAGGATATCCTCAGCATTTAGGGGGAAGCTACAAGATTCCTTAGCCCACCAGGAATTCCAAGCCACTTCAGGTAGAAATTTCAAGTAGAAAAAAAAATGTTGTAAACTTTTCTGTCATCGTTGTAAGTCCCGTGGACAATAAACATTGTTTTAAAAAAAATGTTGTATATATATTCTTTTGGTTAGAGAAGCATCTGATGTAATTTCAGTTAAAATTCAGGTACAAGGGAGTTTAGCCATATTCCTTTAGGAATTCTTTTAATATAAAAACTTTGATCGGTTTTAAGGGTCTTGACAAACGGGCATTTTAGGCAGGTCTCGATCCCTTGCTTTCTGTCATCTTTTGTTTTGCGCTTTGGATGGGGGGAGGTGGGCAGGCATTTGTCGGTGTCCCTCTGTCCCTCCGTTTGCTGACAGGTTGGTTACATAAGGTTTGTGTTGGATGCATCATCATAAAGTTTTCTTTGCCTGGAGGGCAAGTTCCCAGAATCTGTCAAACGAGAACCTTATCCTGAGATGCAAGCTGGCAGGCGTACCGAGTGGCGGGTCAGGGTGGGCCTCCCCACTGAGGTCACCACGAGGGGAAGGAAGCTGGGGCAAAGGGGGCTTGGAAGTAGGACCTGGTGTCACGCAACACTTAGTATAGTTCTGATGAAACTACTACCAAAAGAAGCGCAGGCTAGAATCAGTCAGGGGCATTTATGGAGCACCTACCGTGAGCAGCGTGAGAAGAGCGGAGGCTTCAGTCTCTACCTTCTATAGCAGAAGATGACTAATACTAAACAGATCCCTTTTATGGAATCTTACTAAATGATCGGGATGGTGCTAGACACCTTTTTAGGCATTACGTCATCTGGACAGCCTTATGATGTAGGCAAGATAATTGTCCTCTCCTAACAAATGGGACGACAGAGGCTTAGAAAGATTAAGTAACTTTCCAAAGCTGCACAAACTGGTGAGCTGCAGAGTCAGGACTGGAACCCAGGTCCCTGTGAGTCCAAACCCCTGCAGACCAAGAAGCAGCCCAAGGCAGCTCATAATCCATGCCAGAAAGAGTGTAAGAGCTTGAAACGCAATACCTCGCCGAGAGAAGAGGGAGGTTGCTGTGGGCTGGGGCAGGAAGGAATGTGCCCTTCAAAGCATGTGACGGCAGGGCTGCCGGGGACTGGGACAGGAAACCAACCACCCAAGTGCCTAGTTTGTTTCTCCGAGCCTTTGCTTTGTCTTTTCATTGAGAATCGGGCAATGCTGAAAAGAGGATCTGAAACTTTAAAAGGAGCACTGGGGTGGAGCAGAAACACAGCCAGCCTTACATCCCGCATTCATTTTTGGTTCCGAAGTTAGGAAGTTCTCGGAAATGGAGCGGGCAGCTGGGACCTGATGGGAAATGTGGCAGGCCGACGCGGCCCTCTCAGGGGTGCTGTTCATTTTGAGCAGTCGCCTTCCAGGGCCAGGGAGATGGTCTTCTGACAGCGGAGAGCAAGGACAGTGAACGCACTTGGAACGAGACTTTTCACGGACAGTATCACGTCCACGAAATTCGGCCCTGCACTAATCCCTCCTTCACTGACAGTGTGCAAATACAATGGGAAGGAGGCATTTTTGAAATACCTAAGAGAGCAAACTTCCCAAGCACTCTCAAGGGCTTGAGAAATACTGGTATCTTATTGAATAATAAGAGGCAGGGTGAGGCAAAAAGAGGCCTGCCCTGGGATTCAGGCAGGTAGGTTTCAGGTCTCCACTCGGGCTCGCTCTCTCTCTCATGTTGGGTGAGGCCGTTTTCCTCAGTGGACCTCAGTTTGCTCATCTGTAAAATCATGAGGCCAGTGCAGGGGGTCTCTAAGCTCCACTCAGGTATGAATTCATATAGCCATTAATTTAGAAGCTAAGTACAGCCAGTAGTTCGTAATTCTAACTAGAATTGATGACATTTGTCATATAAATAATGATTGAGTATCCTGAGGGTGGTCAACTGGCAGAGGAGAATGTTGTGAAGACCTATTGATGCATGGTACCTGCCTTCACATATTTAAGGACCATCTGGGGGGAAAAGGAGCACATCAATTTTATGTGAACACCGGAAGGTAAGCAGAAACTTAGAGGAAGGTAGATTCCCAGCCCAGGTGAAAAAAGGACTTTAAGATCGAAATAGGTTATCTATCAGAAGAGTGAGCCTCCTGTCACTGGAAGCATTCAAGAGAAGCCCAAATAAAGCTCTGTGTGGGGATGAAGTACAAAGGGTTCCTGCCCTAAGCAGGGGCTGAACTAAGCTCCTTCCAAATGTGTGTCTCCATGTCCTTGAAAACAATAGACCTGAATGTTCTTAAAAAGTATTCAGACCGTTCCCTAATTCC